GCCAGCCCCAGCGTTGCCCCGAGTGGGCGAATCCCCTGACGCTGGCGGAGCTCGTGTCCTGATGCCAGGGGAAGAAACAACGATCGACCAAGGGCAAGTCGACACCACCCTACCTGCGCCCCACTGGGTCGCAGGTGGGTCGTAGGTGGGGTGGTGCCGTAGGTGGGTCGTAGGTGGTGATGGTGGTGGTGGTGGTGGTGGTGGTGGTGGTGGTGGTGGTGGTGGTGCCGTTTGGCTAGGTCGCAGGTGGGGTGGTGCCGTTTGGCTTCCCGTCCAGAACAAAGAGGGCACACATCGAAGAAGAACGGGTGGGCGATGGAACACAGGGGCTTCGTCTGCGCCGACATTGGGGCGTAAGCTTCCCGCGTAAGGTCGGTCGCGCGCAAGCACCCTCTTCTCCAGTGACACGCCCCGCGCTGGCTGCCCGCGTGAGCCGCCGCGCAAGGTCGCTGCGTCATCTCGCGTAGGGCCCGTTTGTTTTGGTCGGCCAGGTGACATAGACTCAGGAGGACAAAAAACACACAGACACAATTAATCCTCGATTCCCAGGAAAATATGGGAAAATATGGGAATTGGGGGGGAAGACAAAAACCCAGAAAATATGAGAAAATATGGGGACTATTTTTATTTGTGTGCATTTATTTGTGTGTCCTAATTTCCCTTTATGGACAAAGTCCCAGAGGTCTGCGCGAATCTCTTGGATCGGCGCTGGGCCACCCCCTCCCTGGCGCGCGCAGCGCGCTCCGGGGGCGGCACCAGAGGCGCAGCGAGGAGGCCCAGTGCCGATCCAAGAAGTTTGCGCGGACCTCGGAACGCATGCGTTTATGATGTTTTTCTTCTGGTGCAGTCGCGTTCGGTGAGCAGGTCGACACCGCCAGGTCAGGGGTGCCCTTGTGCCCTGCGCGTGTCGCGCGCCGTGCCCCCGCTGCATGCGTGGGTCGGGGGCCGTGGGGCTGCGTGCTCGGAGGAGTCTTGCGTCCTCTCGCGCGCCCCCCTCGGATCAACTCAACTGTGAACATGCTCTTTCGGACGTCCGTGCGGATCCTTGGCGCGCCCCGCGCGGCCTGTTTCACAGTCTGTGTAACTATTATATGTGCTGTTTCTTCTTCTTCTGGAGGCGGCCCGCGTTTAAACTGATGCCGGCCGGTCTCGGGCAGGTTTGCACCTGCACGGCCTGACGCTCTCACCGTCCCCCTCCCTCGGAGGCTACCAGAGGGGTTCGTTGGACAAGGTTGGTTTCGCTAGACCTGGTGCCCCACAAGCCGACCTGAGGCCCTCCAGCCCGAATGACCTTTCGCCAGGGGGGCCTGGTGCGGGCCCAATGGGTCCCTTGATCGCTGAACGCGAAGCGGTAGCAGCGGCTTGCGCGCCCAGGTTTGGCCACCCCGCGTCCCCCGTGAAGCCGCGCACCAAAGGTCACTCTTGCCTAGGGTCTCGCTTGCGTGTAGCCGACTCTTCTCGAACCAGACCTCACCTTCACCAGAGGCCTCCTAGATGGGGTCCGAGTAGACGGGGTCGAAGGATCGCGCCGCATCGCCAATGCATCGCCGATGTATCGGCGATGCATCGGCGATGCACTGGCAACATCGGTGATGCATTGGCGAAGTCGGCGTGGAGAAACCGGGGCTCCACATCGAGACGCATCGCCGATGCATCGGCGATGCGGCGCGATCCTCCGACCCCATCTGCTCCGACCCCAGTTAAGAGGCCTAGATCCACCTTCCCTCAGGTGTGCGCGTCGCGAGGGATCGGGACGGCACGCCCCCCCCCCCACCCCACCCACATTTTTCAGGCACGAGGGGAGGGGCCCTCCTTGCCCCCTGGGGGAGACTTCGAGGAGCGACTTGGGATGAAGTAACTTTAGGCCCCGGGGAGGGGCTGATTCGATAGCAGATCATGTGAGCCCTGCATGCCCCCTTAATTCCATCTTTAGCGTCGATTAGCGTCGATTAGCGTCTGAGAGTGAGTGCGATATCGCCGATTTACCGTCAGTGAGCGTCAATTTAGCGTCGACTCGCGTCGAACAGCGTCGATTTGCGTCCATTCGCAAGAGCCGACAAGATGGTATGGAAGGCTCCCATGAGTTGCCACCGAAGGTTGAGATTCCTGGGTCGGAGCTCGAGAGACGGGGCTCAATGCAAACGGGGGTCAGTCAGAGCGCCGGATCTTGCAGCATCCTGCAGAGCCAGGGGCGCATTGACCTGGGCTTGGGCGCAGGATCCTGCAGAAGCCTGCAGGATCCTGCAGGATCTTGCAGGATCCTGCAGAGCCTGACTGAGCCGGGTCTGGATTGACCTGGGTCAGTAGATCCACGACTGGGGCCCACGTCATCCCTTTCTTCTGTCGCGCCTCGAACCTCGGCCCTCCTCCCCACCCCTCTGTGGCACTGGCGGCGTCTTGCCGCTTCCTCCCACGCCGCCCGAGGACGGGCCAGGGCAGGTGGACTCAGAGAGGAGGAGGAGGAGGAGGAGGAGGAGGAGGAGGAGGAGGAGGAGGAGGAGGAGGAGGAGGAGGAGGAGGAGGGAGTCGCACCGCATCGCCGCATCGCCGCATCGCGGCGCGACCCCGCGCCCGACGGACTCCACCCCGACGTCGCCGACGCACCGCCGAGGCATCGGCGGTGCGCCGCTGGCCTCTGGCATCCCCTCTGCTCCGACCCCGCTCCCGGACGTCCGACGACGAGTTCTCTCGGGGGAGCGTGAGACCCGGGTTTGCCGGGACTCGGGTTCGCCATCGTTTTTTGACGGCCGCGCCTCGGATTTTGACGAGGAGGAGTTCCGTGGGATGTCTGCAGCGGGAGGCCTCGTCAAAATGCAGGCTCGGCCTCGTCATTTTTCTGACGACCTCGTCGGGGATTTCCGAGTCCCCTGTACCCAGGTCTTACGTCCCCCTGACTCTCGAAACTGGCGGACCCCCAGGGGGCCACGACCCGCTCCGGGGTGGCAGCTGCTCGTCCCAGATCCATCCGTGCTGGCCTTGGGGCCGCGGAGCCTTCTCGGGAGGGGAAAAACACACACACACACCGACACCATTTCATCGTCGATTCCCAGGAAAAATATGGGAACATGTGGGAAGTGGGGGGGAAGACAAAAACCAAGAACATGTGGGAAAATATAGGGAAACACTTTATTTGTGTGTACTTATTTGTGTGTCCCAGGGTCCCTTCACCTTCGGAGGTCGAGATTCAGGAATCCAGGAACAGGACGCCCGGACTCAAGATGTCACGGCTCGACGGCGAACGAGGGGGGGAAGCGAGAAGGAGAAGGCCTTCTCAGATCAGAAGGCGGCGGGGCTCCTCAGAAGCCTTCCGGCCTTCTGTGAGGTGTTCCGTGTCTTCGGGGAAGGCTTAGGAAACCTCTCGGAAGGCCGGAGGATTTCTGAGCCTTCCGAGGAGGCTTGCCCCTTCTCACCCGCGGACGGCGTCGCGCAGCTCTGGAGTGGAGCTCGCGACGGGTGAAGTCGCCGTCGTCGTCGTTTTCGTCGTCGCCGTCGCCGTCGCCGTCGCCGCTGTCGTTTTCGGTGGACGACGAGGCCGAGGAGGAGGAGGAGGAGGAACAGGAGGACGAGGAGGAGGAGGAGGAGGAGGAGTGGAGGAGGAGGAGGAGGAGGAGGAGGAGCTGAGGAGAAGGAGATGGAGAAGGGCGAGGAGGAGGAGGAGGAGGAGGAGGAGGAGGGGGAGGAGGAAGAGGAGAAGGGCGAGGAGGAGAAGGGCGAGGAGGAGGAGGACGACGACGACGACGAGGGCGAGGGAGATGAGGCAAAGGAGGGGTCCGAGGGGGAGGAGGATATTGAGGAGGAGGAGGAGGAGGAGGAGGAGGAGGAGGAGGAGGAGGGGGAGGAGGAGGGCCCCCCACCCTAAGGCTGGCCAGTTCCCAGACCCTCTCCCTTTCTGAACCAGAAGCTTCAGGAGCAGGCTCAGGCGAGAGGAATGGAAGTCGCCGATCTTTGCCCCGCTCCCCGACAGCCAGCTGAGATACGAGCAGCTGCAAAGAGTTTCAAGTCCTTCACCGCCATGGGGGCCGACATGCTCCACCCTCGCGAGTTCGGGAACCTCTCTGATGGGGCTCTGGAGTGTCTTGGGCTCCTCTGGTACTGGCAAGAGGTTGATGGGCTCTTGAGTTCTTGCATCTCCCTGATCCTCTTGGCGCAGCTATTGAAACTAGAGGGGGGCTATCGGCCCATTGGAGTCATGACTGGAGTGTCGAGGGTCTTCGGGAAGATCAATAGGGCTGAAGCGGTGTCTTGGGAGAGAGACCACTACAGGGACTATCAGTACGGGGTCCAGGGACGTTCATGCGAACAGGCCGTCTGGGAGCAGTCACTGTCTGTCAAGTATGTCAACCTCCAGGGAGGCACCACGGGGATATCCCTCATGGACCTCACTAAGGCCTATGGGAAGGTCTGCCATTACCTGCTGACCACAGCCGCGGTGAAGTGGAACTTCCCGCTGTATAGGATAGGCTACGCGTGTGTCTGCTACAGTGCCGTGGTCCTCGGGTGCTGAGCCTGGCAAATGTTTCTTCTATGGTCACGCAGGTTTACCAGACGATTAGTGCAGGATGTCCTTTCGCCACCAGTCTCTTGAGGTTGTTTCTGATGGGGCTCCTGGATTCCATGGTCGAAAAGTGTCCGACGGTCTTCCCCTTCAACGTTGTAGACGATATAACGTTCTTCATGTCAGGCTCCGCGAAGTTTGTGCAGGTTGGCTTAGGCAACGCGACGGCCTACCCCTGCGAATGTTTGGAAGAGCTCTGCCTGGTCATATCTGACTCCAAGGGGAAATCGTCTCGCCCTGTAAGGAAGTGGCCCGAGGAGTGGCCAGGCGGCTGGACCGTTGGGCCCTTCAGGCCGTGGATGCCGCTCGGAACCTCGGCTGCGATTTCGGGATGAGGCCCAAGGGGCTAAAGTCCAAGAAGGTGCTCAACTCCAGATTCGGCCAGATCAGAGCTACTAGTAGGCTTGCGAAATTCAGGAGTTTGAGGAGTTCGTGCCACGGCCTGATGAAGGTTGTCCGTGGCGGCGCGCTCCCAGCAGGGCTGTATGGTACATGTGTCAGAGGCATGGCGGATAGTCGAATCAAGGGGCTGCGGGCGGCCTTTGCGCATGCTCCCTTCGGTACGGATAAGGGACGTAGTAGAACGTTGGAGTTCATGCTTTCCAGTAACCCTGCCTCAGACCCAGAGTACCAGGCCAATCGTTTGCCGCTTATTGCCTGGAGCCGCGCAGCTCGTGAAGGATGGGCTGCGACGGAGACGATGCGTGCATGCTTTTCGGCGGCGCAGACGGCCCCGTCTTTCGCCTGGCAGGGCGTTCGAGGGCCAGCTGGGGCAGTAGTGCTTGCCCTGAAGCGGCTCGGTTGGGAGGCTCCCAGTTGGCACCAGTGGCTCACCAGAGGTAAGAAGCAGGTGGGTGTCTTGGATCTTGGGAAGCGGTCTCTTACCAAGCTTATCCAGCAGGACACCTGGGTCGCCATGGGTCTCAGAGTGGGCAGTAAAGTCTGGGGCGCCGTTGGGGGCCTCCCCCTCATCAAGCCCCTGGTCTCGTTGGTCTCGGAGTTCAGGCACCGCGCTGGGGCTCAGGGCGATGTGAAAGCCAGGCTGTTGTCGGGGCTTGTTGCTGGAGGCTACCCGGCCCAGTGCACTTTGTATCTGGACAGGCGGGTTATCAGACCCGACTGCCAGTGGTGTAGGGAAGAAGTGGGTATTTTCTATCGCTGTATGGGTACTCATGCGCTGCGTCAGAATATGGATGTTGATGAATTAGTCGGCCAGGCCAGCGCTTCAGGAGCGGGCTCCATCCTTTTCGGCAGGTGTCTGATGCGTTCGCCCGAGGCGGGCTGGCCACTCGCCGTCCAGACGCCAGCCGTCCAGCGGGACAAGTACCCGCAAAATGGAGTGCTTCAGAAGCGTATGTGCATAGACGGCTCGGCGATCGAGCCCGAGCTGCCGTTCACTCGGGCAGGTTGGGCCGTTGTCGGCCTGGCCAACGACGCGCTTGACATCATCGGCTCCTGCTACGGGCCCCTCCCCCACCCCATCCAGGAGGCAGGGGGGGGGGAGATCTACGCCCTTTTGATGGCCTTCCAGTTGTGTGGTGCTGGTCCTGTCGCGATCGTCACTGATTGTAAGCTCGTCATAGATGTATGGGAGCGAGGGCCGCAGCATAATCTCGAGCGCCTTGCCTTCAGTGAACTGTGGGCGCGCATCTTCGAGAAAAGGCGAGGACACAGGACGGGAGAACATAATCTTGATAAAATTCAAGTCCCACCTCAGCAGGACCAAGGCCCTCGAGAGGGGCCACTCGATCTGGGCCTGGAAGGGAAAGAGGGAGGCGGATAGGTTGGCGGATCTGGGTGCCCGTTGCCACCCCCACAACCCTCTGATCAAGGACCGTTATGTTTCCCTCTCTGAGCAGGTTCGCATGATAGGTCAGTTGCAAGCGTCGGTTTAACAGGCTCTCCCGGAGGGGGATTTTCCAGACGTGGAAAAGGTTAAGGCTCCCAAGAGGCCTCGACCAAGTCCCATTCAGCTGGTTTTCAATCCCAATGGCCACGATGTCCGTCGGTATGGGAAATCGAATCACCGGCTTTGTTGTGCCATCTGTGGGGGCAAAGCGGCTTCACGGACAGGACTGTGCATGGTGCCACGCAGCGGAGTTCCCAGGCTCGCGCGTTCAGCTCACAGCACTCACGCGTTGTGGATTGGCCGCGGAGGCATCGTGTGGTGCAGGCAGTGCGGAGCCTATGGCTCCACGCGCTCCAAGCATCTTTCTCATCGAGTCTTGCCATAAGAGGCCCAGGAACAAAAGGTGCTAGCCAGTCGTTGGCGCATTTAAAGAAGGGGGGTGGAACCCTCTACCCGCATTTCTTTCGGGAAGAGCTGGCCAGCCCCGCCCAGGCAACCCAAGTCAGGTCATCATTTTCCTGTCTGGCGGGTTGCTCCACCGTCCACCCCCCTTCGCCCCTCTTGCCCCTTTTCCAGCGGCTCGTGCGCCCCGCGGGAGGTGTACCTGTCCGCCAGAGGATCACAGGATCACAGGAGGAGGAGGAGGAGGAGGAGGAGGAGGAGGAGGAGGAGGAGGGGAGGAGGAGAAGGAGGAATAGGCTGATGAGGAGGGGGAGGTGGAGGAGGAGGAGACAGGAGGAGGAGGAGGAGGAGGAGGAGGAAGAGGAGGAGGAAGAGGACGCGGAGGAGGAGGAGGAGGAGGAGGAGCAGCAGCAACAGCATGTCCTCCTGGATGCCCCCGAGGTTGCTCCGAAAAACCCTTCTCTGAGTCCCCCCCGCAGAAACGCCTGAGACTTCGGGGGGGACCTCGCGGGGGGCCTCCAGACACCTCCGGAGACAGCCTTTGGGGCGAGGGTGAGGAAGAAGAGGAGAAGCAGGAGGAGGAGGACAAGTGCAAACCCAAGAGTCATCAACGATGTTGGAATTAACCCTCCCTCCAATCTCCCTTCATAGGCCCCTACAACGGTTCATTTCCACTGAGGGATCTGCCTCGTTGGAAGACAATCGGTCGAAGTCCCTGCAGCATGCCACAACAGTGTTCTCGGGATTTAGACGCCACGGATCAACCCGACTGCTGCGTCTTGACGATTCGGAATTGTGCCGGAACGCCATTTTTTGATTTCAACACCGCGAACCAACATAAATGTTGCACCCGCATAATCCTGAATTTTTCCAAGACGCCGTTTCTGGTAATTACGTTGATCATGGGAATCCGTAAAACGAATGCGCGCGGCGCTAAGGCGAGAGCCACATGTTGAAAACCACCCGCCCTCAATCCGTGAAGCTTCTGCAAATGTTACAAAGAGTGTGTGCGGCGCTTAGGCGAGCGCCAAATTATGAAAACCACCCGCCCTCAACCCGTGAAGTGCTTGCAAACTTGTAGAACGAATGTGCACGGCGCTAAGGCGAGGGCCACATTTTGAAAACTACCCGCCCTCAATCCGTTAGAACGAATGTGCGCGGCGCTAAGGCGAGAGCCACATTTTGAAAACCGCGAGAAGACCCGACAGGAGGAGGAGGAGGGGGAGGAGGAGGATGCTGGAGTACCGCAGTACCGCCCTCGTTGCACTCTGGCGCCTGCGGCGTCTCACTGCTGATACGTGGCATCTCTTAGCTTCGGAAGTGCCGCCCAGGCTCCAGAGGGCTTGGCCCTGGGGTGAAGAGTGCCCCAGGCCGGACGGACGACCCCGGCTGGGCAGTCGTCCCGGGATCCATGGCGCCCCAGATCTTTCGATGTCTTGCAACAAAGGCATTTGCTGCACTTTGCTCCCTTAATGGCATTGTAAGGTGGTCGTGCGTTTGACTTTCTGCCTCACCAGTTTCCGTTTCTGGGGCCGCGGGGCCGTCAGGACATATTCCTCGACGAAATCTTTTTCCTTGGGGGCCTGGGGGGTCGAGGTTTCCGAGGCCCGTGTTTTGAGAGAAGTCACGGCGTCGGAGTTCTGGTTGGCGTCGTGACCGAGGGGGTGGCACGAGGTGGCTGGACTTCTTCGAAGGCCGCCCCCCTCGCGCTACCTCCTTGTGCGCGACGCCAGCGCTTGTAGCGACTGCCCTGGGCCTGGGCGCACCTTTGACGAATGGCGCACGTAGGACGATGCGCGACAGGTGGGCAGACTGCCCGGCGTCGGGCAAAAGAAGTGGGGGCGAGGAAGAAAGAGTCGGATCGACAGACTGGTCTGAGCGACCCCCCCACTGGGATCCAGGTCCCCGTCAGAGACCAGTGCTGGCGCGGCCCACTTTTTGGAGAGCGCTGCCACCCCCTCTTGGTATAGTCGAACAGAGGTATGAGATCGAGGTCAGTTCGGGGATGGTACCATCATGCTCTGGGATGTTGTTGTGCATCCTGGGGCTCGAAGATTCTTCGGTTTGGGCCGGCAGAGGGTCTCATGTTCTTGAAGGATGTTATTTTGGCCCAGGGTCGGCTAATTACACGTAAGAGTGACCTTTCGCCGGAGTGACCTTTGGTGCGGGCACACTGGGGTCCCCCGATCGCCGAACGCCATGCGATAGCAGCGGCTTGCGCGCTCTGGCTCGGCCTCCCCGCGCCCCCCAGAGAGTCGCGCACCAAATGTCACTTTTGCCTAAGGTCACTCCTACGTGTAGCCGACAGGTCCGACTGTATGAGAAAGCTGCCAGCAGTTCCACTTCTGCGGGGGGCAAACAATGTAGGCCCATGCCAAGAAACACTCTGCTTGCCTCCAGGGTGCCCTGGGTCTCTTGGGTTTCGATGGTTTTGCCTTGGAGGAAAGTACGACGTTCCCACACCAAAAATCAAGGGACGCCCTGGGGTATCAGGGTTGGGTTTCTCGTGGAAGGTTTCTTGTGGACTGGCCTCCACTGCTTTTTAGAGGCACCCCTGCTTCTTTGAAGGCACGGGCCTTGTGTGTAGATGTAAGGCCCGCGCCTTCTAAGAAGCAGGCTCTGTCTGAGAAGCCTGCCCCCCTCCCCCTACCCCCCTTTTGTGCGCGCCGCCAGTCATGGCCGACCTCGACTCCCCCAGCGGTGATGACCTGCGCGCGGCGTGCGTTTCCTAAAGTGAGCGCCGCGCGCAGGTCAGCACCGCTGGGGGGGGTCGGGGTCGGCCCTGGCAGGGTGGCGCTGGGGGCGGTTTTTCGTCAGCCCAGCGGTCGTGGTGATCTCGTCGACTGCACGTAAGAGTTCAGGAGGGGAAGAAAACACACAGACACAATTAATCGTAGATTTCCAAGAAAATATGGGAAAATATGGGAAGTGGTGGGGCAGACAGAAACCCAGATATGGGCAATCTTTTTATTTGTGTGTATTTATTTGTGTGTCCTGGGGCCCCTTCAAGAGTGACCCTTCGTCGGAGTGACTTTTGGTGCGGGCTCACCAGGGTCCCCCGATCGCCGAGCGCGACACGATAGTGCCTGCCTGCGCGCTTGGATTCGGCCACCTGGCGCCCGCCTTACTCCGCGCACGTAGGTTCGCGCTGATTTCTCGGATAGGCGCTGGGTCTCCCCTGTCGGCGCGCAGAGCGCGCCAGGGGCGGTGCTGGAGGCGCCGCCAGGGGGCTCCAGCGCCGATCCAGGAAATCCGCGCGGACCTCCGAAAGTTTATGTTCACTTTCTGTCTGGTTCCCTCCTTCCTTCCCGCGATCTTTCTCCTCCCGCCGGCCGTGCCCACTTCGGCCACGTGCGTCCCACGTCTGCCTTCGACCGCGGGGTGGACTCTCGCTGCTGCGACGGCAGGAAATCGGCGCCGAATGAGGGGGGAAAGTGAAAGGGAAAGGGCCTTCTCAGAAGGCGGCGGGACTTCGCGCGGAAGGCCCAGACAGCTTCTCGGAAGGCCGGGGGACTTTCGTCGAGCCTTCTCTGAGAAGGCCCGCCCCTTCTCACTTCCCCATGGGTTCGCCTCGAAGAAGGGACAACGCGATAAACATTAAGTCTTGGCGTTCCGCGCGGATTTCTCGGATCTGCGCTGGCTCCTCCACGGCGGTGCCTCTGGCGCTGCCCCTGGCGCGCTCCGCGCGCCAGGCAGCGGGTTCTAGCTCAGATTCAAGAAATCAGCGCGGACTTCCAGCAGCTCGTGCTTGTGCCGTTGTTTCTTCCTCCGTCGCCGCCGAGCCAGATCCTCGACCCCTCCCCCCCTGCTCCAGCACTACGATGTTGCAGCCGACCTTTTAGCTTTACTCGGCCACGCGCAGAAGGGGGTACGGGGGAAGAGGGGGAAGGCTTCTTAGAAGCACCCCTGTTTCTTACAGGGCGCGGGCCTTCTCTACACACGTGAGGCCGGCGCCTTCCAAGAAACGCCGGAGAGCTCCACGCCCTCGCGCTCCTCGACGCTCGCAAGGGCCCGCACCGCCGGCAGGCACGCCTGCGCCGCCTCCTCGGCGCCCTCCCCGGGCTCCTCCGTGCCCGCCGCGTCCTCGGCGATGGCCCCGGGGTCCTCGACCGCGTCCACGGGCTGGTCGCCGGGGCTCGCCAGGACGAGGTCCCCGACGACGGGGCGCGGGCCGAGCTCCCGCGGCCTGCGCGAGAGGGCGGCGTTTCGCACGGCGCGCCGCTGATTTGACCACCGGAGCGAAGTTCGAACGCCAGCAACGTGCAGGAGGGGAAAAAACACACAGACACAATTAATCGTCGACTCCCAGGAAAATATGGGAAAATATGGGAAGTGGGGGGAAAGACGAAAACCCAGAAAATATGGGAAAATATGGGGAATCCTTTTATTTATGTCTATTTATTTGTGTGTCGCAGGGCCCCTTCAAACGTGCACAAACTCGGGTGGACTGCGCGTGCCGGGCCCTGGCGGGCGATGCGCCTCGGTGCCGCGTCGGGCGGACGCGGTTCCGACGTGTTTCTGGGGGGACCACACGCGCAGACACAATGAATCGTCGATTCCCAGCGAGTGTGGGAACATGTGGGAGGTGGGGGGGAGACGAAAACCGAGTAAATGCGGGAAACGATGGGGGATCCTGGGAAGTTGTTATACCTATTGGTGTGTCCCTGGGCCCCTTCAGTTATTTCCTGGGATGTGGTGCTTACGTGCGATGGGAGCAACACAGCTCCAGCATTTTTCCTGGCCGCGCGGGCCCGGCTGTCGTCCTCCGAAACGCACGACCTGGCGGCCACCTCGGCATTCTGTATCCTTTCGGCCAGCTGCTACTGGATGGCCGCCCGGCGAGGCCGCATTTCGGCGAGCGTTCTCTTCACGCTATACTTAAGTCGGGCGTGTTTCTTTACAGGAGGAATATTTCAGAATAGTCGGGGGACGATTTTTGAGAATTTGTTTGGATCGCTTTTGGGTATTTGGGGGGTATTATTCATTTTCGCTCAAAATCCGCCTGTAGGGGGACATGCCCGACCTGACGCTCTATCCCAGAGGAGCCCGAAGTCATGGGACGGTAGGTTCATGCGGCCATGCCACTCAGGCGACGCCGGCGAAGGCGTCCAAGGTTGAATTCTGCGACGCGGAAGCACCGAGGGACGCGGAGACGCCACTTGGACCAGGTGGAATTCGACCTCGAACGATCGGGGCCGCGGTCGATTCAAGATGGAACGACCGACGCGGTGCCAGGAACCTTTGCGCGCGCGCCAGCGCGCTGCGCGAACCTACCGTGGTGATGCGCACCAAGATCTCCACGGTTTCCAGGATGCCCACCACCTCCTACGGATCCACGCGGGCTGCACGAATGCGGGCGGCGTGACGCTCTGGAGCTCCTGGGACGTCATTGTCTGGAGCCGCTCCCAGCATGACACGCGATCCGCCTCCCAGCCTCTGCTGCCCGCGGCCGCCTGATGATGCCTTGCGGAGTCGGGCGCCACTCCAGGGCAGGAGTTGCTGCCTCGGTCTCGGGCCCACGCGTTCTTCTTGTGATCTCGGCGGCGGCCCCGGGCAGAGTGGCCAGAGCCCTTCGCTCCCCGCCCTCGGCGGCCTCCTGGAGGTGCCTCGCGAGGCCCACTCTGGACATCCGCGTTCCGTGGCTCAAGGGAGGAACAGCCGCCCAGGCCCCGACCAGTGGCGTTTACCAAACGGCCCCTGGGCGTCTGCGGAACGGCCCTGCCCTGTTCGAAGTCGAAGCCTTCCCTGGGGGCGTTTGCTGGACGGCCTCGCTTGTCGGGGTGATTCTTATGGGGTGCATCTCCTGCCCTCTAGCGGCGCGCGACCCCACAAGGGCGCCCCCTGCGGCCCGCGCTCTTGGAGCTCCTCCTCGCCGGCCCTGGAGCTCCTGCGGCGCGCACTCGTGGAGGGGCCCTTCGCCCCACTGGCCCCCGGCCCCCGCCTTCCCCCCGTGTGTGGCGCCCCCGCCGCCCCGCGAGCGGCGGCGAAGGCTTTTTGTCGTCGATCGAGCGTCGCGCCGCCAGGAGTCGCTCGCACGTTTTGAGATCCCGTGCCCGCCGGCCGACGCTCCTCCCCCCACCCCTTTTCTCCTCCCGCTCCCTCCCTCCCCATCCTCTGCCTCGCGCCGTTGCCGCCTCCGCTTTCGCCAACGGCGCCGCCGACCCGTCGTGGCCGCCGCCGCCGCCGCCGCAGTTCGCCGCCGCCGCCGTCGCCCTCGCCGTCGCCGCCGTCGCCGGCGATTGTGCGCTGCAGGTGCGGCCGGGCGGCGGCGGCGCGGGGCGCCCCTCGGCGCGAGGCGCCCCCTCTGCGGCGCGGGCACGTTGACGTCCGACGCCGCGGTGGTCGCCGTCGTCGTCGTCGTCGTCGTCGTCGTCGTCGTCGTCGTCGTTGTCGTCGTCGTGTTCGTCGTGGTCGTCGTGGTCGTGGTGGTGGCGGTCGTCGTCGTCGTGGTCGTTGTCGTCGTGGTGCTCGTGGTCGTCCTGGTGGGGGTGGTCGCCGTGGTGGTCGACGTCGTCGTGGTCGCCGTCGTCGTGGTCGTCGTCGTGGTGGTGCTGGTGGTGGTCGCCGCCGTGGTTGACGACGCGGAGGCGGAGGTGCGGAGGAGGAGAGGGGTAGGAGTTGTACCTCAACATAACGTTTGTAAAACCAAGTCCAGATTGGGAAGTGCGTATGTTCCATATGTATTGTTTGTTGCGCTGCATGAGTTTACCTTCGGCGAACCTGCAACCTTGAATTTGTTGCAGAGGGGGGCGATTCCATAAAAGGAGTATCATACCAGACATGAAATTATGCAGTGGTTTTCGAGCGAATAGGCTAGAGCACGGGACAGTTCTGATTGAAGAGCTGGATGTTTCTTCCCTTTCCTCTTCCTCCTCCTCTTCTCCTCCTCCTCTTCCTCCTCCTACTCCTCCGCCTCCCTCTCCGGGCGCGGTCCGACTGAGACTTCGAGGCGAGCTGCGCCGTGGCGACGAGGACCCAAACCACCCACCACAGTCCCAAGAGTGGCAAACACACTTGGGCGCCCGGTAGCGGGGGGGCAATATAACGCGGGGGGGGGGGGGACGGACCTAGAATCGAGATAAATACCTTACAGAGCTTTCCAGAACGCTCGCAGAGCGTTCCAGAACGCTCTGAGACGGCCGCGGCGCCCGATGCATCCTCAAGACCCGCCGATTCTCACAGATGTTCGATATATATATATATATATATATATATATAGTTCCAGTTTTGTCTCGATTCTGCCTCCGTGTTAGGGGGGGGGTCGAGGATTGCAGGAGCGTGGCCCTGAAGGGGCCCCAAACGGCCCCTGGACCGCAGCGGCGGGCCCGACCTTTGCCTCACGGTGCTAGGGCGGCCAGGCCTGGCCCCCTCTCTGCTCGGAGGCAGAAGGAGCGGCGGCACCACTGGCGAGACCACCTCCTCGGGGGCGTCCACGAGCGGGGGGTGAGGACCAGGGGTGTGTGGGATGTCTTTGGAGGAAGAGAGCAGCATACACATGACCTTTCTCGGAGGTCTGCATACACATGAGCTGCATTCGCATAGGATGTGTGTATATATATGTGTAAACATATATATATATATATATATATATATATATATATATAAGCAGACTGCATCCGCATGAACCCCGTCGTCGAAGAAGACAAGACAGCACAAACATACACTTGCGGAGCCCGGCACGGGCCTCCCAGATCGGCGCTGAGGCCCCCGGGCGGCGCCTCCGGCGACGCCCCAGGCGCCAGGGAGGGGGATCCAGCGCAGATCCAAGAAATCTGGGCGGGCCTCCGATAGTTTTTTTGTTGGTAGCGACTGCACGGCATTTGTTCCTCCAGTCATGGCCGGGTCTCCCAGATTTCGAGGCCCCTTCTTCTCCTTCTTCTTCTTCTTCTATTAGTATTCCTCTTCCTCTTTCAGGACGTCGCATGGCCCACCCCCCCTCGTCCGCGCACATACCTCGGGCCATGAGGCGCACCCCCCTCTCTCTCCCTGCTCTTAGGCAGGCTTAGGATCGAGATAGATTGTCCCAGAGCGTTCCAGAAGGCTCTCAGAGCGTTCGGGAACGCTCTGAAACGGCCGCGGCGCGCGATGCAGCCTCCAGATCCGACGATTCCTGTAAATTTTCGATTTCTGTCCGATGTTGTCTCGATTCTGCCTTCGTCTGAGCCCCCCCCCTTCATGGCGCTAGCATCGCAGAGCGGATTTCGTTCGGAAAACTATCGGATGGGCCCGGAGTGTCCTGGAGAATTTCGCTCATGCTCTTGAAGGATGTTCGTCATAGCTCCGGCCGTTCATGCTTGATCTACCCCAGAATTGCAAGTACCGCCGAATGCAGACGAATATGCGGAATCCTCGCTGATACGCGAAGATTATACGTATCTTGCTGCAGATCCGACGAGCGCATTCTTTTTTTTTTTATATATATATATATATATATATATATATTTTTAATAAAACAAAAAAAAAAAAAAAAAAAATCCGACGAGCGCATTCATTTGGGGGTGTATGTGTTGTCCGATCCCTGCTCGAGAGGGGGGGGCGGCGCGAGGGCGTGAAGAATGGCCGCGCGCCGCACGTCGAGGGGCGCGCGGTGCGCGACGTGGGGTGGCCATGGAGGGCCCACGGTGCAGCTCCGGGCCGAGGGCCGCGGGTGCCTCGGCGGCGGGCTGAGGGCCCAGGGCTGGAGGGCTCGTCGAGGGCCTGCAGGGGCCGAAGACGGCTCAAAGAAACTGCCGCTCCAGGTTTCTTGGAGCCTCGGACCTCCGGGGCCGCCGCCGCGGCGCGCCCTGCGCGCTCACCAGCCGCTCCCCACCGGTCCTCGTCGCCGGCGGGCCTGGAGGGCCCACGGTGCAGCTCCGGGCTGAGGGCCGCGGGTGCCTCGGGTGTGGGAGCGGCAGTCAGCGGCGGGCGCGGGGGGGAAACGAGAAGGGGCGGGACTTCCGAGGCTTCTGAGAAGTTTCCGGACTTCTGAGAGGGCTTCTGAGAAGTCCAGTCTGTTTTCGAAATAGGCTAAGGAGACCTCTCAGAAGTCCCCCGGACTTCTGAGAAGTCCCGCGGCCTTCTGAGGAGGCCTTCTCCTTCTCATTTCCCCCCTGGGCTCGTCGCCTAGGCAAGGCAAGAGCAGGGGGGCCACAGCACCATCTGCAGGGTCA